ATTTCTTAGTCGTTTTTGTCGGTCTTCTTGAAACTGATTCAGCAGAACTGCTATGTGGAAAATATCTATCCGCTTGCTCTTTTCTCTTAAAATTACGTCTTAGAGTTCATTGTCAACAGAATTGTTAGTGATGATTTAGGGGACATGCACAGAGCAGCTGTTTTTCACCAGCACCTCTGCAGAAGAGTACATAAACTACGGGATTTCTTATGATAACAATTCTTCATCTCTTGTCAAAGGCTGTTGCAGGGTAGTAACGTTATATCCTAGAAGTTTTCTTTGTTGACAAGAACTTAGATGCTTGACTGAATAGAATGAATTTAATCTGCCACAGTAACAGAGCCAGCACTTGTCTGGGAACCTTATCTGGCACATACGCTTCTTCTCTCTGCTCATATCCATCACCTCGACTTGCACGACCATGAATTTTTCAGGTCATGAAATAGTCCGCATTTCTCTGGCGAAGCAGTCGATTTTGTCGAAATTGGATGATATTTGCTGATGAAAATTCATGATGAGTGACGATGTGCCGTGATCACGTGCAACAACATCATAAAATGATTGAAAGAATGTAACGAAAAGCATACGTATTGCAAAAACCCGGGCTTAGAATGTATTTCGACAACAACGAAAAGGCTGTTTAGTTAAGGAAGATCTGAAAAACTGATAGCATATATGCTCGTAAGACGGCACGATTAAAAGTGAAAGATCTCGAACGGTATAACAGAGAACGATTGCAGCAAATAGTAAAAAAGGAAAAACTTTAACAGCCGCATTCAAGATTCTTGTCTGATAACATTACAAATTATAAAAAGTGACTGTAGAAATAGAATGACAGTTTGTAAGAATGTTGAAAAAGTTTGCAGATGGTTTTAATCAAATCTATTCATATCAAGCGTTAGCATTGCTCCTCGTACTAATTGATTGGACATGTGCTGTACATTAAATTCTTGCAAATTTTCTAATGGACATTTGAAAAGTTACAGGTCTAAATCAAGCCTCATTAAAGCACAGCAGTTACAAGTTGGGAATATCGTTACGTCGAAGATGTCCCTAGTAAAGTAAAACGTCAAGAAGCTGAGATGTCTCACAAAGCGCGTTGCTCTGCGAGGACATGACCGTGAGGATTTGAAAAACTGCTTATCGCAGTGCACGTGTACAAATTTTCGCAAGTTTTCTTTAACCGTATGAGCAAACAGTTGCATGAACAGCAGCCGATTGAACAGGCTCGGTTTCTTCAGAATTTATCGACATTTGATCGTATCCAAATATTTGACCAAGTGCTTGAAAGTGTCGTGAGTACAGACTTATCTACGTTGTTTTCGTAGGCACTGGAAAGAGTTTATATGATACACCAGATGGAGTTTTCGTACACAGAAGACTCGGGAAACCGAAGAAGGAAATATCTGAATGCTGCGAAAAGTATGCACGGGCTGTAAAATGGATTTTCAGTTGTTGGAAGATCTAGTCGAAGTCAGAGTTCGAAAATGTGTCGTCAAGCGGCCCCGGCGCTGTCTACTGTATTTCTCGAATCAGTATTCCGCAAAATGAATGGAAGCTTTTCAATAAACGGTTAATTCATTTTAAGTTTACTGATGAAGCCGTGTTAGGGAGACAGGCAGAAACAGACGAAACTGAAGGCATTCTTGCGGATAAAGAACTCATTTGAAAGAACTTTGTTTTATGACGGTACAGTAATGCTGGCAGCTACCAGTGTTTGTGAGATTTGGGCCTTAGCTGAAAAAAGTTAAGCGAGCTACGGAAGAAAGGACACTTGGAGTTTCGACTAGGTCATGCCGTAGGATGCAGAAATAAGAAAACAGCTGGAATTAAAAACGTCATTTCACTGGCAAACGATATAAAAAGACATAGGCCGGCCATATTTGTACAGATGACAGGTGAACCTCAGCAGTGATGAAATCATACCCATAAGCAAGTAGAAAAACCTCGATTGGTTGATGAATTAAACGAAGAATATGAAAACTTGTGACGACAATTCTTAGGTGATATATGGTTGATGGCGTAAAGATCGGACTGTAATCACGTAGTAGCGATATCAGTTGTTAATGAAGGAAGATGCCTGTACAGGGCCTTCCGTGGAAAAATTAAGCATAGAATTCTTTTAGTTTTGACTGAATTGACGTTGTGTGTGCAGCGTTATTTGTCAAAATGGTTCAGCGACTCGGCGCTATGCAGCAGTATTTTATTCTTAAGGAAGTTTTCCTGGTTGCCTCTGGTAGACCTGTTTGCACAGGGAATATGACCTTTGCTGCTACATGAATCTTAAATTGTTCCAAATGGAAAATGCTGTTTATGCTTTGTTGACTTTATATGATGTCTTACGAATAAGAAAGATTCGCAAAATTTTTTCCCTTTGCTGGGTTGTATCATCAGATTTGTTTGAAATTTTGTTGAGCAGTAATGTGTAACGCCTTTTTGGTATGGATCTCATCCGTTGGCGTAGTTCAGTCAGTAGAGCGCTGGCCTTGTAGTCTAAAGATCGTCGAATCACATCACTGCTAAGTGATTCTATCTTTCATCTCTTTGAGTTAGGTAAATGAATGCTGTAGTTTGGCTTAAATACGTGCAGCGCCAACCACAGCTTTATGTGGCATTTCTGAGTCTCAGCACTGAAACACTGATCATCACCGCGCCATAGTTGATTGGAAGAAAGGCGCCGTAAATAGCTCCCATCACAGAACTGTAGGATATATCAAGAATAAGTCGGTTGCATGCTTTCCTGGTCATCTGTGAGAATCAACTGTTGGAATTGAGCGAGGCGCCGATGTTTGCGGTTACAAGAAGTAGATAGTTGCATTATTCCTCCTGTATTTCTTCGTCAACGACACAGAAAATGAGATGAGTTGATGTCTTTGTCCAGGTTTAGCTGTGTTTTTACGTCATTTCTCTTCATTACTAGGGCATTTCAACACACTCCCATCATGTAAGAATGCGATGTCGCTGTAGGTCCTAAACTAGTCTATTGCCGTAGGGAGGGTTCTTTGTCGGTACGACAGACAAAAGTGGCGACTTGGAGCTATTAAGAAACATCTATCCTCAACTGTTCTTCAGAACCTCTTCAGCTAACTTTGTCAGTGCCAGACCTTTACCACTGCCATAGACATTCGCCCGTTCGTACGGCTTCCTACAACAGTGTTCTGTATTTAGTCGATATCTGATTTATCGACCTCTTGCCGTGAAGGGCGTTTAACTCATTCGTTTTTCAGTATTACTTACTCGTTTCTGACAGATATTAAAAATTAAGTTTTAGAAAATTCCAACCTCACGTGAAGCGCATCACGTTCGATTTCACCACGGGTAAAGCAACCTCGCAATTTCAAGACTGTAAAACGCAAGAAGATAACTGACTTATGGTTCGATTTCCCGTCCTTGCTGGTTTCCCTCTGTGCAAAGTATGAAAACGGTAGCCTGTTATAGTTTGTTTCCCATCGTAATGACCACTGTCGATGAATTAACTTGTTGACGTGTTTGAGCGTTTCTGTTTTTTATCATACGAATACGTGTCGAATGGTTCTGTTTTTGTACGTCTGCCTTTCATTCCGGTCAGCAAACGCCTTTTCTAGTTGTCGTCTTGAATTGCTATTCGTATTTATTTTATCGCAAAAGAAATTTTTATTTTTGATTCAGCTGCTCCTCAGCCGTCTTAATACAGCTTCAGTGGATTTTGGAGGCGACTTTTGATAGCGCTTCAAGAGATGCAGATATATACGATTTTCTATCCGTGATAAAGCATGGAAAAATTCGGCAGGATGTACTGTTGTTCAAAATATTATCGATTATCATTAACCATTTTTTCAGCTGTAGTAACTGCGTTACTGTCTGAATCAGATACCGTCACTGGCTATCAAAACAAATTAGTTCACCTGACTCAGAGATATAGACGTTGCTTACTGATAACTCCAGGATCAAATGCTGGAAGAACTAAAACAATTCGCCTCTGCAAACTTTATAGTTCACATTTAGACTGTATTCTCTGCAGTGTTGTACCTTCCTTGTACAGCTTTCCTCATTTATAGACTCATATTCGCGTCTTGTTATCGATATTTCAAAAACTTTAGACTAACGCATTAAAAAACAATACAATAAATATTGCCGGAATTTTGAAACTTATTCTTGCTGGGGGGTCTCTCATTTCAGAATGACTGAAAGTTTCGTCAGCCAATGTACTTTTTACTTTTGTACATTGTACTGCACCATTTTTGGTGCAGATTAACAAGGGACGTATTCGAATGCTGACCAAAAAGGTTCAGTCGAAAAGTATACTAGCCTCCCTCTCTTGATCACCAACCAAATTGCCATTTTAGCTCATGGCAGTCGTGTAACCCTATCACTTCCGTATTCGTTACTGCCAAAACCGGCCATATCAGCGGAACGTAATTTCAGAAGCTTCTATTGAGAGAGTGAAATGAGTAACATCGTGGGAAGGAAATGAGAGACTATACATAGAAGTGGTAGTATAGTTGTAGAAGTGTTTTTAAACAAATTTAGAAAGGTTTTCGACCGACATCTTCGTGACAGCGATTATTGCCACAAAATATGCTTCAGAAAGAGTGCTGTGAATAAAGCCAATCATGGAGAGGTACGG